CGCAAGATCAACAACCATCCATCGCTTGGAGTACTCGACCCATCATCCTGCAACTTGTTACTGGGCCTAAGACATCTACTTAGTCGACCGTCCGCGAACCCCCCCCCCTTCCCCCCCCAACCCACCAACGGTGACCAACCCCCTTAAAATCAGTGTTGCATCGAATGTATCCCTTGTTGGTTATTTTCGAGGTAGCCTTTTGGAGCGGCCGCTCTGCAACTCAGAATAAATTCCAGGTTTGTTCGAGTGCTGCCATCAACCTGCAAAAAGATAAAAGGGCTTATGACACCTGTTGACCCTCCCCTCCACCACCCCCTGCCCCAGCACCCCAACCCCTTGGAAGTCACATTCTCCCCTTTTGGCTATTTTCAAGGTGCGTGGACCAGTTCCTGGGCCTATGACACATACTGACACTCCGCCTCAACCTCCCCCCCCCCCCTATGCCCCACCCCCCCCCCCCCCCCCCCCCCCCCCCCCCCCCCCCCCCCCCCCCCCCCCCCCCCCCCCCCCCCCCCCCCCCCAATATCCCAGCACCCCTACCCCCAGGAAATCACATTCGGCGCTTTTGGCGAAATTCGAGGTGAGCGGCATCTTAAATATGAGTACTTTTTCCTTCATGCCCCCTGCTGAAACTTCTTTGCTGCACCCCAATCCCCTTAATATTACTTTTTGTTCTTTGTCTGACAATCTTTAAGTCAATAGTGCGCTACCAGTTCTTTTGTCGGGCGAAGATCCTCAACGTCAAAACTTAATATTGCACCACAAACGTCGACTGAACAATCCGAACCTCAGCACCCCAACCCTCTTCAAAATCACATTGACCCCCTTTGAAAATCACATTCTGCCATTTTGGCTCAGAATCTTAAACTACGAATTAATTCCCAAATGCTTTCACTGTTTCACACACTTAGTCGTTGGAAGAGGTGAGGAGGCGCTGCAATCCGGATAGAAATGCCACACACTGAGTTATTGGAAGAGGTGAGGAGGCGCTGTAAGCAGGACAGTAATGCCTGCCAGCAATGCTGTAGGACCCAATTTCAAACTCGAAAATATTGCGTATATAAGGAAGGACCTTGTCGTCGTACAGTTCCCACTCTCGCGGATGTGAATCATTGCAATTTTTGTGCATCTTTATCCGTCAATACGGCAGTTGAGCGAGAAATAAAATCAATGTGCAGGGGTAAGGCATCACACATTTTCAAGGTCTAGCATCAGACGTAACATAACGGCGAGTGAAAACTCACGGCGCCAACAATTATTATTCGTTGTTAACTGTCATTTCCGCATTTCAACTGGATTTCGCGCTCGCTCACCCACGGCAGACCCGGTGTCGACCCCTTTTAGCGAAAAGGAGGGGGCATCAGGAATCGCAAAAGCAAGGACGACGAATGCACAATAAATATTTTTGCGACCCTATTAGCGATACATCAAGGCTTCATGCACCACTTTTAGCAGAAATTGCAAAAGGCTAAAAGCGGAAGTCGCAAGAGGTGAGGAGGCGTTGTAAGCCAGTTATAAATTCCATCGAGCAAAGGTGGAGGAGAGAATCTAAAACTACGAATCAATTCGCACATGCTTTCTCATAGTGCATCATCGAAAAAGGTGAGCAGGCGCTTTAAACAACCACTCCCTCTGGCAGCAGCAAATAGCCCCCCCCCCCGGTGAGTTCCAACGGGTTCTTAGGGAGGGCGGTGACCAGATGCCGAAACGGAGGGCCCAGTCTCGCAATTTGACAGCGGCAACTTTTGCGATTTTTTACACTGAGAATAATTCACTGAAAATTCTGAAAATTCGGGGGTTGGTAGATTTGCTTGTGGTCCTTCTAGGGAAAATATCAAAAATATTTTAAGAAATGATTTTGACCTCCAAATAACCGCTGCGACGATTTGGGACACGTTCGAGTTCTACTACAATGCCATTTGCGGGCCAACAGGGAAAGTTGTACAACTTCAGCGGTTTTTCTCGCTCTGAAGAATGCGTCACAGACCCCCAAAAGTAAAAGGGTCAGTAAATTTGCTCGTGATCTTTTCATCGATTTTTTTTTTTTTAATTGAGAATCATTCAGACCACGAAGTAAATCGTGGACACGATTCAACATATTTTTAATTTTGCCCTACTGGCGGTTCTCCAGTCTGTACTACGGGCGGTCGTAATGAACCTGTGCTATCATTTTCTTGATGTCAGACGGAGTGGTGGTTTAAGCGGGGTAGAAATGAATGCCAACAAAGATAGAGGAGCCAATTTCACTATTGGCAAGACATGACACAAAGGACAATCTTTTTCACAATGTATCCATTTTTTTCAATAAGACAGAAGGTAATAATTTCGGCAAAATATCATTTTTTGCGAACTTGCATAAATGATCAGTCTTCCGGCGACAACGCAGAAGGTAACAATTTTCGGCAATCATCCATTTTGGTGAATACCTCATATCGATCCCTGAGCGACAAACAAGGTCAAAGCACAAGGGTCAAGCACACATACATTTTGGCGATAGCACAGTTGATGATAATTTCTGGTGAACTTACAGTTGTGAACAAATTTCTGGTGACAACACAAAAGGTAATCATTCTGAAAAATTTATAGATATGAACGGTCTTATCACAAATGTATGGCTTCTAAATTACGAATATGTTCGCATTTGTCATACAGAAGCAACAGTCAACATTCCGTGGAGACTACGACATGTATTCTGGCGATAACAAATTGGTGATCATTTATTGTACCACTAAATTTTGTGGAGTCCATAAAACAAAGTCAAGCATACATACATTCTGGCGATAATTGATTTCCGAATTGCGAATAAGTTCGCAATTGTCACATGGAAGCAACAGTCAGCATTCACTCGAGATAAGAAGGAGGATGGTTGCGGGGAGGAGGGCACAGCAGAGGAGGTGAACTGAAAAAATGGGGCGGTACGCGGAGAGGGGGGGTGGGGGTTTGGGGGGGAGGGTCTTTCAGACCGTTAAGACTCTCGTAAGAAGAGAATCACGAAACAATTTGGCGACCAAGAAGTAATCTTTGATTTTTTTCACCAACATCTCGGTAAATGAACTTTGAGATAAGCATGAAACAATTTGGCGACCAAGAAGAAATCACTGATGTCTTTCACCAACATCTTCTAAATGAAGCAGAGTATCTAGTTCTACGAGCATGAGTGTAAAAAATGTCCACAAGAGAATAAAGATTTCCTATCAGTAACATAGGAGCACAACCTGGAAACGAATAAAGGTAGCATGACGCTGCCGCGGTCGTACAAGAAATAAGGAGAATAACCCGAAAACAAACAAAGATAGCACGAAGGTGGGATATTCACATCCGATATCTAAGCGTCTACTTAAAAGATACTGCACCATGTGGCTGGGATATTCACATCAACATCGAAGTGTCCACTTCACCTAAGTGTCCGCTGCAACCCTCTAGCTGATGTTGGGTGGCAATGAATGAGAATAACCTGAAAACAAACGAAGGCAGCACGACGCTGGCGGGGTCTAAAAAAACAGGGTGCATAAGGCCATGCTATTTGCATCGGAAAAACTAAAAAAATCAAGAGAGTCAAAGAAAGTCCCACGTGTAAAGTTGCCAGGTTCGTCGAAAAGAAGAACCAGAAAAAAATACTGCAGCACGAGGCTGGGATATTCACGTCGATATCTAAGCGTGCACTTGATAGACGCGTCCACTGCAATCCTCTACCTCATCAAAACAACACCACAGCTCGAGCCGCCCGATTGTTAGACTAAGTGGGAATAGATTCGCACTTTTGTTCACGACCTTGCAAATAAAAAACGTTGCGTATTTTCAAAACAGGGATATCATTCTGAGCCTTGGATTATGTTCACCTTCATCCTCAACCTGATGTTCGGAATGTCGCTTTGGCCTATCGGAAATGGAGGTGAATGACCACGTGCCAGGAAGGAAGCGAAGGCGAGCATGAAAACACTGCAGCTCGACCCGTCCGACTGTTCAGGGACACCATGAACAACACCTTGGGCTCCGGCAGATCCAGTTTCGTGTGTCGACCAAATTGACGAACTGCTGCGTCACATAGGTATTTCGTCAAGTTTACAAGCACACCGGAAGAAAAAACGTCATCGTCTTGCAGGAGGGAGTCGTAGTACTCCAACCGTCCTTCGCGAACGCATAATAAGGTCCAGTGCACTCAATTTTTATGAACAAGAATGATTAGCATATCGTACGCAAAAATGTTGACATCTTTTGTCCATCTCGCAACCCTATCATGTCGACATCCCTCATCGACGAGCTTCGTATAAAAAAACGGACTGAAAATATAAACAGAGGGACACCCTGACAACGTAGCATTGCTAACCAAGGCCAAGTAGGACTCCACCACCTCGTCGAAAAGCCACCCTCCCTGAACAAAAGTCTGAAGAATTTTTCTGCTCAACACAATAGAACTGGTCCCTTTGCGAATCGAGGAAACCACCTCGTTACCGTTGCTGAAATCCCCACAGACCTCCTGCAACATTCTCAAGTCTGCACCGCTAAGCTCCTCAGTAGGCAACGACGCGCGAAAAAATGATGTAGCCACAGGTGCACAAACACCCAAGAACAAGTGTCAGGAGCCGCCAAAACCACCAGGGCGAACTGGTCATGAACTGTGTGCCCTTTTTCTACAAAATTTATAACCCCGACTGCTGAATGTGTCTTTGGCGATGTACTTAGGACACGGGTCTTTGACGGTACCCCGTCTGGCGTCGTCATCAGACCCATCAGACAAAGCAGTAATGCTTTCGATAGACGCAACCACATGTTTCCGCAAAGCTTCCTCCTTATATATTCTACAAGCCTTCAGAACCCTGACAGCTCTCCCGAAAAGGCGAGGCATCTGGACCCTTTTAAACAACCCTACAGTTGACGAGGGCTTCTTCGGTGAAGCGGTCAATGACCTCCCTTAAAACGATTTTTTGTGCATGGCTTGCGAAGGCTTCATGGGCAGGGACATTGAAAACCTCACACATGTAGAACATAGAAAACAACCCACAACCCACAAACTTTTGTTTAAGAAGTGGTAATAGCCACATGAGCCCATCAATTCAATGTGGATGACCACAGAGCTGAACATGGACAGATGTGAGAGTGCTACTGTTCACAAATCTTACCGTGCTCGGGAGTCCGTCGAGGGGAACCGACCTCCTGTCGCGCCACTGTGCCGACGTCCGTGGAGGATTCGATGTTCTGCATCTCGACCACCCCTGAGACGCTAACCAGCTCGATGGCAGCAAAGTCGCTAACCAACTTCGTAGCTTCATGAAGCACCGTTTCCCGACCGGAACTGAGGGCAAACGCTCGATCACCTTTCTCTTCACTGCAGCTGGTGGACTGAGAATCATGATCTGTCCTCTCCGAACCCATCGGACGAGCCGACACCTCACCGGCATGAAGCCCAGTTGACACGTCACGAGCATAAGGCTGAGTTCCCCCCACGGTTTCCTCGCCTGCCTCATCGTCATTTAGCCGAGCCAACACCTCACCGCCAAAAAGCTTAGCTTCCCCCACGAGTCCTTCGCCTTCCTCATCGTCACGAAGCCGAGTTTCCACCACGGGTCCTTCTTCACCCTCCTCATAGCCACAAAGACAAGCTTTCCCAAACCTCCATGCACGTCCTTCCCGCCCACGGTCTTTGCCTTCCACAAACGTCTCATGACCTCCCTTAACGCCACCCTCTTGCATCGTCAGTGGCGACCCGCTGTGCAAAACCAAATCGGTGTCCCCGATGTTGATGGCATTCCCGACGAGCCTTGGAGAAGCTCTTCATCCCGCTGCACAACATGCGTCTCCTCCAAAGCATGACCTTCGCACTCTCTAGCCTCTGTCTCCAACACTCCTATAGCGGGCCCCTGAACAGATGTCGCCGCACGCTGTAAACGCTCACCCTCTTCCAAGAGGCGCAGGAGCAAGGTGTCGTCCTGAACAGGACAAGCGTGCTGCGTACTGCGGCGAGGACTTTCCTCAACGTCATGAAACAAAGTCCTCGCAGACAATTGCGAATCTACTCACACTTCATAAGACCCCAGGGCGGCCTCGTCTCACGTGTTAGAATCTCGACTCCCTGCGCAGTGGCTCTCACCTCCGCCCGACCCGACATCCCGCTGCACAGCATGCGCTTCCTGTGAGAGGTTTTCTTCCCCCAAAGCTGCTGCACTTTTGCTCTCCACATCGACGGACGCGCCCTCCGAAGCATGACACTGATGCTCACTAGCATCGGTCTCAAACACTCCAACATCGAGCCCCTCCCACACTTCGTGAGGCGGCCAATGTTGAGTTTCCTCTTCCCGCTGCACAACATGCGCTTCATGTGAGAGGTCCCCTTCCCCCGAAGGTGGTGTACTCTTGCTCTCTAAGTCGACGGACGCACCCTTTGAAGGATGACGTAGATGCCCGCTGGCCCTGGTCTCCAACACTCCTGCGTCGAGATCATCCAACACTCTGCGAGGCGGCCAGTGTTGAGTCTCCTCTTCCCGATGCACAGCATGTGCGCCCTGTGACAGCTCCTCTTCCCCGGATCCGCAGCACTCTTGCTCTTAAAATCGATGGAAGCACCCTCCGAAGCGTAACGATCATACTCGCTAGGCCTGGTTTCCAACACTCTTGCAGCGGGCCCCTCCAGCACTTTGCGCTCGCCGGCGTCATGAAACAAAGTCCTCACAGACAAGTGCGAATGTACTCGCACTTGATAAGACCTCCGTGCCGCCTCGTCTCGCATGTCCGAGTCTCGACTCCCTTCGCAACAGCTTTCAGTTCCGCTAGACTCATGACTCCCGAACGCTCTATGCTTTCCGCTCGGCCCCTTTCCGCCCGGCCCCTTTCCGCCTGACCCCTTTCCGCCCGACCCCTTTCCGCCCGACCCCTTTCCGCCGGACCCTTTTTCGCCGAACCGTTTTCCGCGGAGCCCTTTGGTTCCGACGACGTTTCGCCTGGCCCCTTTCCCTTTGCTTCGTCGTCACCAGATCCTGAGTCGTCTCCTCCGTCAGCTCCTCCACCGGGTCCTGCGCTGTCTCCTCCATCACCTCGCCCACCGCCTCCCGGATGCTGACCACCCGACGGAGGTTGGGACATGCGCCAGTCAATGCCACGAGACGGTCTCGTCTCGAGTGCATAGAAAGGCGCTCGAAACTCCAACATTTTGTTGGCGTACAACTCATCTAGCTTTTGGCCTGCATACGCATTGACGTCCGGCAGGATCCTGTCGAGGTTCATAACCCCCAAATGCTCCACCAAAGCTTCTGTTGCCTTTTTCTTAAATGGACCCGCTCCTTGTCTGTTCATGCCACTCCACTTACCATCGACTTCCTTCATTGCCATGACCCACTTTCCAGTCTTTCCAGCAGGTTGGAATTTCCTGGGGTGCCAGACGACGTTGTGGCCCCAGACATCCTTTGACGTGAGCCGGTGATGCTTCCCGTAGAAGAAGAGCCTGTCATTATCCCAGGTATCATGGTCCCTAGGGAGCTTGTCACCAGGTTTGTAATCATAGTCTCTCTCTTCTTCCCCGTCATCAGAAGATTGGTCCTCGACTGTTTCACGCTCAAACACATGCTTCAAACCGGCAGGGGACATGCTATATTTCCGAGGAACACCTTCCCCTTCATCATCAACCTGTGCAACCACCCGAGGAAGTGGCATGGACTCGAAATCAAAGGTTTCGGAGTCGCTCATCTCCTCCATATCCTCAGCATCGAAAGGGTCCTCCTCGTCGAACTGCGCCTTGTAGTTTTCGAGGGTCAGAGGTTCGACCATCAAGAAGAAAACGTGCTCCAGCCTTTTCAGGAAATTTGAGACAGACTCACTGGCTGCATCGTGGTAACCATTCATCACACCGAATACCAGGTTCCTCCGTCGTTTGTATTTCAGGTCGGTCTGAGCAGGCGCTCCTGGCTGGAAAAGAAACTCTCAAACCTCCGTCATTTTCTACTCCGGCAATTTCCAATACATATCACATTTGGGATCCCAGTTCCGTTCGCCGGTGGTCTGGACAAATGAGCAATGGTGGCGAGGGTCCCCCACGCGTGTCTTAACGAATTCACAAAGGTAATCGATCATCTTTGTCTCGTCCTCTAATGCAACGACGTTCCGACCGCTGCGGAGGAGTTCCCACACAACAGACGCGTGCGCCTTCCCGAAGAAAAAAACAGTTTGCCTAACTCTGCAAAAGTTCTCTAGCAGAGCAATCAGATGAGCCGGGTTGCATTCCCTGTCCCCGTAAGTAGCTCCTCGGACACTTGTCACACCGTCGTCCTCCCATTGGCTACGAGGGAACTTGTCCTCGTCTGCCACGTCGAAACAGACCACAGCCTGTCCTGACGGGTCGGATGAACAGGCAGCTTTCGAGCGGGCCACCACCGCGGGTTTGGCCGGACTTGGAGCATTGGCACGGGGAGGCTTCGATGGACTACTGGCCGGGAAGACTGCGACCGTGTTGTCTGCCAGGTTGTCGCCATTGAAAACCACGTACAGACGATCGTACTCCTCGACCAGCATACTGCCTTCCCGAACAGTGGCCTTCCTTTATGCATGGCGCACCCACTTCTCTGTCCTGACGTGATGAATGCTAAGCTTGACCATGCCTTTCAAGAAATTGAGCTCCCAACGAGAGGGGAAGAAGACGACAAGTGCCCAGTGCCTCAGCGATAGGCTTTGGAGGACGCCTTGCAAGGGGGCGAAATCGTCTTCTTGCCAGTATGAGAGGAGTGTGGGATCACACAAATCGAGGACGCACAAGTTGCACACGTAATGTCGCACAATCTAGCGGATCTCAGAGAGACGAGTGTGAGTTTGCGAAGCTGGACAACTGAAAGGAATACGGATAGTCACGCGGTTGATCTTGTGCCATTTGATGTGTCTCACATCCCCGCTGACCCTGATCGTGTCTTGCACTTCTTCCTCCGTTCGTTGCAAGCTGATGGACTTCTCGAAAAATTTAGGGAACCTCTCATCATCGTACATTTTCTTTGTTTCATCGAGGGACTCCTCGCACGGAAGACATCGTTTGCAAGTGTTCACGTACTCCACCGCGCCATGGAAATGCTTCTGCAGTTCCACCCACCCCTGTTTCGTGACGTCCCGCGGCACAAATTCCCCCAGAAGTTGCTCCTCGGTCCGAAAAACTTGGCTCCCATACCACCAAGCCTTTGCGTCCTCCTCGGATTCGAGGAACAAGATGTAGTGAAACATGCGGAGCATCATGAGGTTCACTTTCCTCGTCGCTACCATATCTTTAATTCCAGGCTTATGCCGACGTTTTAGATGCCTGCCCGCCGATTGCACGAACAGTCCCCTCAGCGTGAGAATGTCGTCGAGGATCGACAGTTTTTCGGCATCGGTCATGTCAGCAAAAGACTGCCAACAGAACATGTCTGGCTCCTTCACGACGACGAAAAACTTGTCGTCCGATTGCGTTTTCTTTTTGGTCGGAGGCGGCGGGACCCGGACCAGCCACCCCATCTTTGTTTCACGAGCCGCCCCTTTCTCGCCTATTTCCGGAATCGCTTGAAGACCCGGAGATTTGTCTAGCATGTATTTGCCCGGCTTCGACAAGGGCGTCTTCCCGTCTCCGCCCAACAACTTTCCCTCGGCCCATTTGTCGTCTCCATGCCCTTGCAAAAAACCTCATCACTGGCCGTCACTAGCGGCATCCATTGCCTCACTGCATTGCCAATAGCAGCGACGTGGTCCTTGTCGGCGAGCGTTGTCGCTTTATGTGCCATCGTCCAGTGAGCGTCGTTCGGACTCTTTCCCAAAAGCAACTTTTGGAAGTCGAAAAACGCTTGTTTTTCGGCCTCCTTACCGGAAGGGTCCCCTTGAATGGCCACCGGCCTTCCTTGATTCTCCCATGCCTCCCACATGTCCTCGAAAGCGGCCTTCTGCGCACGCTGCTTAGACATCTTGTGTCTTGTGTTCTCCATCTGACAGACCTGCAAATACCTCCCAAAGTCTTCGTCGGAGAACCACACGACTTTCGGCGGCCACATGTGCATCTTCCACAATTCGAATATTGGCTCACCGGCCAACTCCTTCACAGCAGCCACGGTGTGTTGTCCGTTGACAGGGTAATAGAAGTACTTGTCCTTGTCCTCTAGCTTGAAGACATCCTTGTAAACCCTCTCAACTCTCTCTTGCTTATGCGCCACCGGCTTGTAGATGGGTGTCAGAACCAAAGGGTTTTTCGTCCAGATCTTCCCCTTTTCCTCCCGGAACTGCCTTAGCATCGCACCCTTGATGTCCTCCACACCATCGCGAGTGAGACTGCGATGATTGTAATATCTTTCCCACGGCGGGATGTCGCAGACCTTCCTAGGGTCGATGAGCAGTTGAATGGGTAAATCCTTCTTCACGATCTCACCGTCATCGTTCCGCTCGTATTCGAGCCAAAACGCTGCCGCTTTGTCGTACTGCCTACCGACCGCCCTTTCGCCACCACTCGTCCCCTCAGCAGTCTTCCTCCTCCGAGGTTTCTTCTGGCCATCGCCTTCTTCAGCTGCCAGTTTCCTTTTGGATTTCTCTAAAGATTCTCTCGCGGCGGTAATGCCTAGACGAGCCGAATCTCCTTCACCCATAGCTTGTCCTTCGTGGATGGTCAAACCGCTGGACCTCATCGCTTTCTTACTTGTTGTTGCACCCTCTTGCTTCGACTGCCTCTTTTTGACTCCTTGTTCTTGTCCGCCACGCATCCCTGGTGTCCTCTTTCCCGAGGCACGTTCTCTGACGTCACCATCATCCCTGCCAATCATCGGCTCCGATTGTCCTTTCATCCTCTTCATGCGTCGGGTTTGTTCCGCCACCTCTTCTCGCACCGTCTTCTATCGCTCGCGCTTCTTCTACGAAAAAGTCGGCTCCCCGCCAGAGCTGTCGTGCACAACGCCCATCCCTTCAACCTCATTCCCTCCAACCTCTTGCCCTGAACTGCCGGATTCTCTTCTCGCCTCATCTTGAAGTGAATATGTGTCACCCTGGCAGACGAACTTGAAGATTTTCGAAGTACCGACCCGGGGAGTCCCTGCATCTGGAGAATGCAAGCGAGACGTGTTCCCAGGAGCATCCGGGCCAGCCTGCGTCTGAATGCTGCACGCGTGCCCTGCCATGACCCTCAGTGCCGTGAATCACACTCCTGTGCCCCACTGTCGTCACAGGGGTTTCTTGAGCCAAGCTGGACGACCCCTCATGGGCTGGCAGAAGCCGGAAAACATATTCTCACGGAAGAATTTGACGCTCTTTCGACACCTTCAGCGCAAGATCGAGATATTCCACTGGCGGTGGAAGACGCCTGCTTTTGTCATCGTAAAGCCCTTTGAAGTGACGACAAAGTAGCATGTTCAAGTCGTACCCCGCGAAACTCTTGATCGGCACTATCACACCCTTAACACCTTTGTAAGGCAGTCTGCAGTGGTCATAGAAGATGTTAGTGTGCAACTTGAGCAAGCCTCCAGACTGTTTGTTGAACGAAATGATGGTACCGAGAGGATGAACGTCGGCTACTCCCTCAGCGTCTGGAAAGCAAGCGGGTCGCATGAAAACAGCTGGCCCAATAAGGCTCCCCTCAACAACGAAGTCAAAAAACCATTGTGCATCCCTCGTATGGAAATACTGAGGAGTAAATTGTTAAAGAGGTCGTCCCTCCCCGGGGGCAGACGGCCCAGCGCTTGTCGATGTGTTCTTCGCGGACGCCATTTTACTCCCAACCCGAGACCAATACGCCCGAGTCTGGACTAACCCGGATAACTAGGAGAAAGCCACAAGGTTTTCCTAAGAGTACTCCAAAGTGCAAACTAACTCGGAGTTGTGGGAACGAAGACAATACTATTGTGGCGGAGTGAGTTGGGAGGAAAGATAACAACTCCTTGGACAGAGTATGAAACAACTCGCAATCCTGGAGATGAAGAAAGAGGCGGCTTATCTAGGTGAAAGTGCAAACTAACTCGGAGTTGTGGAAATGAAGATCTCTACATTGTCTACAACACGTACTGCATGGTCACCGACAAGTGCGAACTAACTCGCAGTTCCGGAAACGAGGAACTCGCGTGCCAGAAAAATGCGACTTATCTTGAAGAAAGTGCGAACTAACTCGGAGTTGTCGAAATGAAGACATGAAACACGTACAACACGCGTGTCAAAAAGTGCGAACTAACTCAGAGTACTGGATACGAAGGGCAACAACGCCAGTTTTGAAAATAAAGAGCCTGCTTTCAGGAAAGAGCTTACTTTCAAGAAAGAGGCGTCTTATCTTCTGGAAAATGAAGAGCCTGCTTTCAGGAAAGAGGAGTCTAATCCAGAATTTTGGAAACGAAGACCTAAAACATATCCCACTAGGTGTCGACAAAGTGCGAACTAACTCGGAGTTCTGGATAGTAGTGGATACGAAGGGCGACAGCTCCTACAACACTGTGGGTCGCAAAGTGCGAACTAACTCGGCCTTATAGGAGCGACACGAAAGAACAGAAACTGTGGATTAATTCGGTCTTACAGAAGCGGCACGGACGAGTGTCTGTACATATATATATACATATATATATTTAACAAAAACTGAGAATTAATTCGACCTTATAGAGACAGAGAGAGTCGAGTACCTGTGTATATATATACGTGTATATATATAGATAGATATCCCAGGTCGGCGACCTCACAAGGGACACGTGAACGAAAATTGGGAATTGATTTGTCGTTCAACAAGGGCACTGACAAGTGTGTGCTGCTATACATACATATATACAAACAATATTCTGGTAGCTTTGTAGCGTGCAGGTTCAGCTTCGGCGAAAGGAAATCTAGCTACGAAGCGCAGATCGGCTATGGCGGACGGAGGKGGAGGGKGAAGAAAAGATCATATCAGAATGCGGGTGGTGGCGATAGCGCGACTTGACCTGTGGAGCTGCGAAACAACAAAATCGGGAATTGATTCGGACTTCAACATGCGGCACAGACAGGGCATCTGAGAATCTGTTCGGACATCGGACACAGTTGGGACAACTGAAATAGTATTTCACCTTCGTACAACGTTCTGTGAACGACGAACATCGGACAAATATGGACGTACGACGAGCGAACCCGCTATGGCCGAGGGAAATCGAGTTACGAAAAACGAACCAGCTATGGCGAATGGAAGTCGTGCTACGAAGACCGAACCGGCTATGGCGGAAGGACGTGGTGGGTGAAGACAAGATATCAACACGCGCGTGGTAGCAATAGCGCGACTTGACCTGTGGAGCTGGCAAACAACAAAAGGGATACAACGAGGGCGGCAACTCCTTTTATACTTTTCCGCCTAGAGGAACTCTCCAGCAGCAGGCCTCGTGTTGGGACCAAGGAGGGTGCAGAGAGGGCGTTTCGATTCGGCGGTTGTTCACATATCACACGCCATGGCCAATAGGACGTCAGGGCCTATAAAACGGTAAGGACAGGTTGAGACTCGAAAGGTGAGAGGTACCATAAATTGCTACTCATCGATCTACGAAATTCAACAGCTCAGATCAACGAAGGCACTGGTATGTCAGAGGCCCCAAAAAAAAAAGTTATCCACCAACTCCGGCGTGCATTGATATGACCTTTCCAGAAAGTAAGGGACAGTCTAGGTCATTTTCGCTGTCATAGTCTCGGTCCTCGATCGTCACGATCCGACGTACAAAGTGGAGCTTCGTTACCCCCCGAGGTCAGGCGCAGTAATCGCACCGCAGCCGTTCGTTGTGCACCGATGCGAGGCGCGACGGTCCGTTGTGCGCCGAGGTACAATTCCGAATGCTCCCGAAACCCTAGCGAGGCGGTTCGTTGCGCGCCAACGTCAGCACTGGAAACCGACAAAATGTGGTCTGGGAGACATTGTGACGTTTTGCAAATGTCCACGGCGTTGGATAGCGAACATCCGCAATCGCTCCATCGTGAACCAACGCTGCGCTTGCGAACGAAATCGCATCCATTCCCGCGCTTGCCATCGCCACAGTCGTCGATGCGCTTAACTCATCACCATCGGTGCGCACAGCTCGTTGGCAATCACTATCGCTATCTCCAGCATCGCAGTACTCGCCATCGCTATCGGTACCATCGCAGCACTGTTCATCGTTATCCAGTTTGTTGTCGCGGCATCTCTCTCCATCGCTATCCCCGCCATCACATCACTGGCCATCGCTATCGCTGCCATCGCAGAGCTGGGCCGTATCCTGCGCCATCTCTCTCCATCGCTGCGCCATCTTTCTCCATCATGGACTCTCTCCATCTCTGTGCAATCTCTCTCCGTCACTCCTGCACGATCTCTCTCCATCAATGCGTCATCTCTCTCCATCGCTCTTGCGTGATCTCTCTCCATCGCTGCGCATTCTTTCTCCATCACGGACTCTCTCCATCTTTGCTCGATCTCTCTCCGTCACTCTTGCGCGATCTCTCTCCATCGTTGCGCCATCTATCTCCGACTCTCCATCGCTCTTACGTGATCTCGGTGGACCCTCTGCGCGTTCCCTATCCATCTCCGCCCCATCTTTCTCCATCGCGGACTTTCTCCATCGTTGCGCCATCTCTCTCCATAGCTCCTGCTCGATCTCGTTTCCATCGCTGCGGGATTTCTTATCGCTGTGAATTCCCTCTCCATCGCAGTGTGATCACTCTCCATCACCATTGTATTATCGCTGTAGTCCACCGTCGGTGCAGTCGCCCATCATTGTGGAATCGCATAAAACAAGCGTCAGGTATGCGTAATGAAGGATTAACACGACGGATATAACTTTGATTAAACTAATTTTGAACTGATGTTGGATGCATTATATCTAAAACATTATTTAGCCTTTAAATGATGTTCTCAAGGTCAATAGTGAGATATAAGGCGCTCCTTCGCCATCTATCTTCATCGTTGCACCATCGCTAACCATCGCTGCACCAGATCTCTCCGTCGGCTCGCCATCGTTGACCATCCTGAACCATCGCTAACCATCGCTGCACCAGATATCTGCATTTGTGCGCCATCGCTAGCCATCGTTGTGCCTGCTCTCTTCATTGGCGTGCCATCTTTCTCCATTGGTGCGCCATCTCTCTCCATCGGTGCGCGATTTCTCTCCATTGTTTCACGATCTCTCTCCATCACCGTGCCATCTTTGTGCATCTATCCCCATCGCTGCGCCACCTTTCTCCATTTGTCTCCATCTGTCTCCATCTGTCTCCATCTCTGTGCAATCGCTGACCAATCGACCTATTATTTTGTTGTTGTGGTCCTCCATCGGTGTAGCCGCCCATCATAGTCGAAATCGCACGAAACACGCTCAATGCATTTAACACGATGTATTAAGTTAATTTTGAATTAATTCTTGATGCATTATATCTAAACAAACATAACTTAGACGATTCCGGAACGACACACTGACATGGCAGCCGAATATGCATGGAGTTGCCTATAAACTACATAATTGTCAGATATGCTTGCAGTTGTGAAATTCGTGGATTGGAGTTGCCTACGTACAAGAATGTTTGACGGATATGCTTGCGGTTTCGAAATCGAAATGAGTGTGGTGAATAAGTCCAAGAAAACTCGCGCTTCGTCTCGACCAAAACAAAAGGAAGTCCTTTTCTATGTGCGAATTTACTCGCTCTTGAACAACTGGGGAACTAATTTATTATTATACGGTGAATACGTCCGAATAAACTCGCACTTGCACTCTCAGTCTCGAAACCGAAATGTTTATTTCAAGTGCGAATTTATTCGGTCTTCAACCAACCAGGCCCCTGAATTTCTTACTATACATTGGAAATGCTCATTTCAAGTGCGAATCTATTCACTCTTGAACCAACCACTAACGTAATTTCTTAGCGTATGGCGAATAAATCCAAATCTACTCGCACTTGCGTTCAATGTCCGAG